TCTTTAAACAGGCTTCCCAGGTACACAGAAAGTAAGATTTTATTGATGCAAACCATATGTTTGTACTGAATTCTTTAGGAAAATATCTTTTATATAAAGCAAAGTTGACCTATAAGCAATTTCCTTAAGGCACCTAGCCCAAAATGGCCAACTCTCAAATTTCCTAGGTAATAGATAATGGGAGGCCTGGAATGCAGGGGATATTTGAAACCCTAGAATGCAAAGCAGTAATTTTAGCCATTTAGAGCTCTTGTGACTTTTCTCACAAAAATAACTAATAGTGAAATGAATCAATGTATTTGAATCTCCCCACCTCCTCTTTCTGTATGTCCATGAATGTAAGAAAGGCTTGAAAGTAACCCCCAAATAGGCTGACATGGAGAGAACAAGGCTTACACGATTCACCAAATTGATGCTTTTCTTCCAACCTCCCCCCTCCCAACCCACCCATCACCACTACCACTGATAATTAAGTTGTCTGATTGCAAAATTGGAAAAAAGAATTCAGTGTGCTAATAAATAAAAGCAATTAACTTCTCTGGGTCTCAATTTCCTCTTCTTAACAATGTGGGAGTCCTTTTGAAGATTACTGTTTTATAATTCTGTTCTTGAACCTACCCAAACTTTACAAAATAAGGTAATTTATGACTGTTTTCTCTGTCTAATGAAATAAATTTCACAGCTATTTCTGTCCTTGTTCTTGGGAATTTTAATAAATGATCATGAGGTTTAAATCAAAACATTTATATTATTTGTGGAATTGGTTGATTTGACTGTTATTGATGGTTCTTGCTAAGAAGAAAATGCTTTGCAGAATTTACTTACAACTCACCTTTCTCAGACGTAGTCCACTATGGTGAAAACAAAGTAAGCTGTTTTTGAACTTCAGTACAAGTGAAATATTTTAGGAACAGGAAGAAAAAACAATTCACTGGTTGTGGTAATAAAGATCAAGGTAGACTAGGGTATAGGTTAGTTTTGCCCTTCAAAAACAAGACTTCTTTCATCTCAGAAATTCCAAACCTTCAAATTCAGAAGAAATATTTGGAACATAGAAGAAAAGCATGCCTAATATCTTGAGTTTTTGGCAACATTTTTGCCTTCATCATCTTCCTGGAACACTATTCTATCCTCGCTCCCCACAATTTTGATTTTTTTTGGCCCAATTTTACTATATTTGATGACATTTTGAGGGAAAATTATTTCTCTAAGTGATGTACAAAGGTATTCTCACATAAAGGAATTTAGAGTCATAATGTTGGTCCCTGAGACTCTTCTTCATGGGCATGAAAAGCTAAAGAATGTACTCATGAAAATGCACGTTGTTTATATAGCGCCTGCTTTGTAGGTTAAAGAGAGATCTTGAATATGTCAACAAATCTCCCTTATGCTTGGGAGTTAGTGATCTTTTATTTTGTCTGTATTTCTTTTTCTCTTCCCTAGTCTATAAATGATATTAGGTCATTTCTTCAGTGGGAAAGAAGAAAATACGTTAGGAATAAGAAGGAGGACCAGGAAAAAAAAGACTGGGGCTGATGGAGTGAAAATTCATAGCTGATTGACCCAAATCCCAAAACAAGACTGAATACAACAAAAGAATAGCAGTAGGAGCAAAGGCAGATGGTAAATGGCAGTGGGGAGAGAGAAGGTTCATGAGCAAGAATTTGCTAATTGAAATTGTAAATTGAAAAATTGTTTTAATTATTTATTTGTTTTGAGAGAGACAGGGAGAACAGCAGGGTAGGGGCAGAGAGAGGGGGACAGAAGATCCAAAGTGGGCTCTGCACTTACAGCAGAGAGCCCGATGTGGGGCTCGAGCGCCCGATGTGGGGCTCCAATGCCCGATGTGGGGCTCGAACTCACAAACCATGAGATCATGACCTGAGCCAAAGTTGGATGCTTAACCAACTGAGCCACCCAGGCACCCCTAAATTGACATTTTCACAGAAGAGTCAAGACTTGGAGAGGCTTCTGGGGAAAACGGGGTGCTTTGAACTCTGATAACAACAGAAATACAGAGATTAGCAAGGAGGTCTTCCAGTCAGTGCTGCCACTTGACCAACAACCTATGATTTGGATTGAAGCACAATCCTAAGAGAACAGATGTTTACCCATTTTTATGAAATTCTGAAGAAGACAGGAGTTTCAAGTTTATGAGTGGGGCCTTCATGTATGAGATTCTGACTCACTGTGTGTGTTGGGAGGTTGGGGGATGGGGACAGGGGGTGGGATGGGCAGTCAGCCTGAACGTGTGTAGAATCCTCAGGTTGCATAGATAGTTGGATGGCTACATAGATACATAGATGGGGTGAGCAAGCTAAAGATATACACACATTTACACACACAGAAGAAAAATTTGCAACTATTTAATAAGAAACAAAGAATAAATAGGATTTCCATAGTTTAACAAGAATCTTTTACTTCACTGAAGAATATACATACTTGAGTGACTTTTTTTCCTGGTTATTAGCAGAGTATCAAATTATTTTCCTTTTTTTCACGTACGTCATTACCAAAACCAAAGGAGATTGCTTCTAAAGAAAATCTGCTTGGGAAAATGCCTATTATTTAAGAATGTGTCCTAGTAATAACCATAGCTTTATTATTATTATTATTTCAGATGTGCAGTTTTATTTTAGTAAAAGTGGTAAGAAAGCACAATGCTGTTTTAAAGTATCATAATTGCAGGAAACCCTAGTGCGTTGTTGGTCCAAATGCAAACTGGTGCCGCCAATATGGAAATCAGCATGGAGGTTCCTTAAAAAATTGAAAAATGGAACTACACACACATGAAAAGATGCTCAACATCAGGGAAATGCAAACCAAAACCACAATGAGCTATCACCTCACCCCAGTCAGAATGGCTAAAATCAACAACACAAGAAACAACAGATATTGGCAAGGATGTGGAGAAAAAGGAACACTTGTGCACCGTTGGTGGGAATGCAAACTGGTGCAGCCACTGTAGAAAACAGTGTGGATGTTCCTCAAAAAGTTAAAAATAGAACTACACTACAATCCAGCAATTTCACTACTAGGTGTTTACCCAAAGAACACAAAAATACTAATTCAAAGGGATACATGTACCCTGCTGTTTATAGCAGTATTGTTTACAATAGCTAAATTATGGAAATAGCCCAAGTGACTGTCGACAAATGAATGAATAAAGAAGATGTGGTATATATATATACATACATACACACAAACATGTACACACACAGCCATAAAAAAGAATGAAATCTTGCCATTTGCAATGACATGGATGGAGCTAGAGAGTATTATGCTAAGTGAAATAAGTCAGAGAAAAACAAATACCATGTGATTTCACTCATGTGGAATTTAAGAAACAAAACAAACAAAGACCAAAAAAAAAGAGAGAAAGGCCAACCAAGAAACAGACTCTTAACTATAGAGAAGAAACTGATGGTCACCAGAGGGGAGGTGGATGAAGGTGGTGGGTGAAATAGGTGATGGGGACGAAGGAGTGCATTTGCTGTGATGAGCACTGGATGTTGTATGGAATTGTTGAATCACTATATTGTGCATCTGAAACTAATACCACACTGTATGTTAACTAACTGGAATTTACATAAAAGCTTTTAAAAAATGGAACTACCTTATGATCCAGCAATTCTACTTCTGGGTATGCATCCAAAGGAATTGACTTCAGGATCCCACAGAAATATCTCTACTCCCATGTTCATTGCAGCATTACTTAGAATAGCCAAGATATGGAAACCTCTGAATTGTCCAGCAACAGGTGAATGGATTAAGAAGCTGCAGTGTATATGTGTGTGTATATATGCATACATGTGCACATATATGAATATGTGTGTATATGTGTGTATATATATATACATACATATATATACACACACCTATGCACACACACACACACACACACACACACACACACACACACACACATGTACACTATGGATCTGAAAAAAGAAAACTCAGAGAAACAGAACAGGGTGGTAGTTACCAGAGGTTGGGGAGAGGGGAAACTTAGGAGACACTGGTCAAAAGGTGAAACTTTCTGTTATAAGATTAGCAAGTTTGGGATCTAATGGACAGCATGGTGATCACAGCTAATACTAACGATCTAATGTTACCAAGAGAGTAGCTCTTAAATACTCTCACAACAAAAAAGAAACTGTAACTGTGTGATGGGATGAAAGTGGTAGCCAGTACTGTGGTGGCAATCATTTTGCAACTTAGAAATATATCAAATCAGCAGTTGTACACATTAAACTTACACAATGTTATGCGTCAATCATGTCTCAGTGAGGCTGGAGGAAAAGAAATAAGGTATCATACTTGCCACTGTGCCAAAATTAGCTACAAATATGCCAGGCATCAAGGGGACTGAGAGCACACTAACACTGGGCTGATTTAGGAAGACTGGAGCTACATCCACAGAGTGAATGTAGCACGAAGGAGACAGTGCAGTAAAGGAGACAACCCAAGTTCTAATCCCGGGCCTTCCCCGGATTTATTGGGTGGCCAAGGCCCAAGGGCTCATTTGCAAAATGACAGCAGTAAACTAGGTGTTTGGCAAAGTCCCTTGAAGCACCATCATTATCTCTTCCCAGGAGTTTCAACTTTAAATGTCAAGGCCACTTGGGGCTCTGAAGGCCTGGTTAGGAGTTCGGTCAGTTTTGAGTTATATATTAATGATAACCTTTCAGTTCTAAAATTTCTAGGGAATTCATAGTTTGAGATTTTTAGTCTTTAACCACATGACTCTATGCATGCTGCACAATCAATATCTCAGTGGAAAGATGGAAGGAAGGAAGGACAAGAAGGAAAGAAGAGGGATTTAGTGACTATTACTTTTCCGCTTTCAGGATCTTATTTTACTTCCATTTTATGCAAAATGATCTTGTGCTACTTAGAATAAAGAATTACAGTTTGATGAGTTCATCTCATAAATATTTTAAATTTACCACCAAAAGAACATGGTTAGTGTTAACATCTTCTGCTTCATGTGTTTCTAGATTTGGAAAGAAGAAAGATGATAAGGGAGGCAAGGCTGAACAGAAGGGCACTCGGAAGCATGGCAGCCTGAGGGAAGAGGAACTGGAAAAAATGAAAGAAGAACGAGAAAGGTGAGCAGAAATGCTGAGCCCCTGATTTTGTTTGGGTCCATGGCCTGTGTTTAATTTGATTATTGCATCAGTCAGCTGGAGACATTTTATTTCAAGAAGCATAGACTTGAATACAAAAGCAAAGGTACCTGACGTAAAAGGAACCTGCCTTTCTGGGGAATTTTTAGTATATTTGGAGAAGAAATTAACTTTATGTTTTTATTATATCAGTACTTACAATTCCAAGATATCCTACCCCAGTTTTGACTATATCAATGTATATTTTTCCTATGGTTTAAACAATGAGGTTTTTTTTTCTAATAAAAAGGTCATTGTGATGTTGATGTTTAGAACTATCAAATTTCCATAGTCTGTTCCTAATTTTTGTCAAGCTGTTGTATGCCTTCTTAATTTTATTCTGCTAAATCCATTTGGGTGGTGTAATTTGAGAAGCTCATGTCCTTCATTTTTAAAAAGCCAGTGTCTTTTATTAGGCTATCAGCAAGTTGCAAAGTATGTTGCCCATCTGTTAAAGGGCCGGTTTCGTTTACTGAAATAATGACAGTTTGCAAGGACTGAATTCTCCTGTTTGAGGAGCTTAATGTTCCATTTGGACAAGAGGCCCTTCACTTATCTTTGAGGTTAACTCTACACTTACCGCACGTTGATGTGTAAATGTCTGATTTTGAAACATGTAATTGAATATTCATGTTTCTCCTGAAAATTCTTCACCTGCACAACTAAATGGATCTTGGAGAAAGATGGAGATTATGACAAAACTAGCATATCATTTTAAGCACTTGATTCTGACTTCATCATGCATGAAGTCAGATTTGTCCAGCTTGTCACTCGCTTATTAGTAACAGTAGTCCTTGTAGTTTTTAAAGTCAGTTCTTGTACTTATTTTAATACTCTAGTAACGTGTACTAAGAAAATCATACTTATACATCGTCCTTTCTAGCACAGAGCAGGCTGAATACCTACTGTTAACCTTTGACTTCTGTCTTGTAGTCTATTCCCATTGATAAAAGCTAACTTTATCAATAGCGAGGAAAGAAGCCCTATTTGGTCCTTTCTCATGCGAAAGTGGTTGATAAGCTGACTTCCAGGGTCAGCATGCAGGTAAAAGGAAATCAAGTGCTTTATATTGTTGCTGACTATTCACCTGACAGAGCTACCCCCAAAACTGGAATGATGAATTCTCCATCATAGTCCAAGATTCAGTAATCCTGTAACATAAAATGTAATGCAGGCTAAGATTTTAATGTGTATATTGGCAAAGGCATCCATGTGGTGCATCCACATCATAGATCTTTGCTGCTCCCCTGACTTCACTTACTGAGACACCATATCCTTGCCTCGTCTTCAGGAAACGGAGCTGTTCGCTAGAATTCAGACTTCACATTTTTTTGTAGCTCAATACTTGCTCGGGGTTGGGAGGGTTTACTCTTAGTAGCAAGGGAAATGTGTGCCAGCTAGAAAATTGATAACCCATAAAATTAGGTGGGTTGTCTTTAAGCAAGAGTTCATTTCCTTTCTGGTTTTGCCTTTAGGAAGCAGGTGCCTGAGGGAGTTTTGTTCTTAAAAGCAGGGCTGTAAATTCACCTCAGCTGGCTATATAGGCTTCGGGTCCAATTTTCTTAAAATATGTTTGGTCAAAACATTGAAAGAACTCTACTATTAGCCTCCACTTAGGCCAATTCCCACACATGAACACATAAAACACATCTGATATGGGTTTCCTAGAGACAACATTGTCTCAATCTTGTGTGAGGGGAAGAAGTTGGAGGAGTGGCTTTTATGGCTGGGTGCTGTAGAATTAATGACCGAGGGCATTTCAACCGTGCAGGAGCTGAGGGCCACAGAGGGTGGTGGTGGTGGCTGAACATTTGGCATTGCTCCCAAACCTTGAGTCCCATTTCTTGGCTCTCCATCATCCATAAGAAACCAATTCACAACCCTTAAAGAACTCAGTGAGTGTATTACTCTTTGTGACATGGCCACTGGAAAAAAAAAATAGAATATAATAAGAAACAGTGTATGAAAGTTCACAAAGTTGTCTTTTTTTCTAATGCCTTTGCAATTTGTTACCTTAAGATGATTCGAGCTGCCCTATTGCTTATTTGGTTCATCCTAGCTGTCATAGATACAATAGCTTTTCATTAACATATCCTTTCTTCGAAGGATTTAAAGCACTTAAATAAAATATATATTGTGCAGTGCTGGAGCCAGCTTGTATCAGCTTGTGATTTTTAAACTTTCAGGAATTTTGTGAGCTCGTCATTAAGCCGTTAGTAGTTTGAAATTGTTCATGGTGGGAGTATTTACACCACAAAAATTGGCAAATGCAATAAGTTGGGTTTGCTTTCTCAAAGAGCCAGTTAATCAGCATACCCCTGAGGGTTTATACCAACTCTATTTAGTGTATAACCAGGAAGAAATTGTCCAAAGTGGAGCATAAATTTAAAAATATTCATCCAAATCAAACCATATGACTTCTTCTAGCTGTGTTTCTCAAAGTGTAGTTCGTAGACCACTTGATGAAAATGAATCACGTGGGGAGCGTGTTAAAGATGTTTGAGTCCCATACCAGATTTACAGAATCAGAATCTTTGGAGTTAGAGCTCAGGCATCTGTATTTGAGAGGTAAGCTCAGTGTGATTCTTCAGCATTCTAAAGTCTGAGAACCACTAACTTGAAGGGACAGGATTTGGTTGGAACATTAAACTATCCTTATCCTATGAGAAAGGATGTGCAGAGGTTGTTTGTTTGTTTGTTTTTCCCCCAAGAGGACTGAATAAGCCATTCTAAAAGTATTGTCATCTTTTCTTATGGGTCCTCTTTGAAGCATTCTACCTTACTGGCATATTTTTTTGGCAACAAAAGAAAAACACTCGCCAGTGCTCACTCACCCAAGGGAATATGGATTGCTTACCCCCAGTACCACCCACGCACACAAAACTTAATTGCATGAAGAAAATTTTGGAGGCATAAAAAAAGCGTTAAGAAAACTAATATGATCATGCCTAATTCTACAACCACTATTAATATTTTGTGATCTTTTTTCCTATGTATGTATTTTCTTTTGAACTTGATATCTATGCTGCATATATAATATCCCACTTTTTCCACAGCATTATATTGTGAGCATTTCCCCATGTCATTAATGTGTTGAAAATATGCCATTCTGATGACTCTCTAATAGTCTGTGAGAGCAGTATACCATAACTTATTTATCTTCTATTGTCAAACATTTAGTCTGTTTCTATTTTTCTCTCTTCCAAATCATACTTTGATGAGCATGCAGATACAAAAGTCCTTATAGATGACCTCTTAAATGATATAATTCCTGTTCAATTTCCTTGTAACCGTTTTACCCAATGATTAATTTAATGTCAACTCTAAATTTTAGGATTATATTATCCCTCTTCACTCTCCTCATTATTTTTCTTATGATTTCCGTATCTCATTTCAACATATCCACATATTTAATTCCTGATAAGGAATTGTTTTGGTGCTATAGATGAATAGCCCATTCATAATTATAGCTATGAAAAGGTTAAAAAAAAAAAGCCATAACAGGTGGACTCCAAGTATAAGATTACATTGGAGGAATGCAGAATCCAGAACAGTGGTTCTCAGTTAAGGAGGGACACTGTTACTCCCAGTGAAACATTTGGCTGTATATGGAGACATTTTTGACTGTTACGGCTTCTAGGGAGGGAGGGGCATGATAAGGGGGTTGCTACAGCCAGGTGCTGGGTAGAGACCGGGAATGCAGCCAAACGTTCTACAATGCTCAAGGCAGCCCTGCTCCCTAACAATAAGTTATCTGCCTCAAACTGTCAATCGTGTGTAGGCTGAAAACCCTGTTCTAACCTCTGGACTTTACAAGTAAGGGCACTCTCCTGGACATTAGAATTTCCTTGTCTCATGTTTTCCTGTGGCTAACACAGAGAAATGTACACCACATGACATAACCCTAGAAGGATTAGTAGCTCTTTGAGGAATTGTACCCAAAGATTGCTAATGAGTATTTCCATCAATATAAACTTGCAAGACAAAGTTTTTCTTCAAAATTTAGTTTTTAACTCTGGCCCGCTGAGCATTGGCATCAATGCTGGTGATCAGATTGTGAATGCCAAGAAGCTGCAGGGGTTGATCATGTATATTGAGGACACAATCGTCTGGAACAATGGACTGAATCAAACATAAAAAAAAACTTAATTGGAGTAAGTGTAAAGTCTCGATTTTAGGCCCCAAAACAAACTGTACAAACACATGTGGAAGGTTTGACTTAATACCAAATATATGAAAGAAATTGCCTGATAGTTTTAGTTGAGGGCAAGTTTAGCATGAGTCAACATGAGGATATGCCTGCCAAAAACTTAATCCAGTCCTAGGCTGCATTACTGGAAGTTCATGTGCAAAATGAAGGAAGAAACAATAATTCTTGTTCTACACTACTCAGATCACACTTGGAATATCCCATTGCCTCTCTCACACACAGAATAACAGCAACTAAATCATATCTTTTGAAAAATGTTGAAGGACTGGGGAATACATAGCCTGCCTAGATAAGACTTAGTTGATTTCACAGGATCAAAGAACTTTCACATAAAAGAGGAATTAAATGTATTTTATAGCATCCATTCTGTCCTCTCTTTCTCTCTGCTTATTCATCCATTCATTTATTTTCTTGAGGATACTAATGGATAATCATCATTTCAAGAGAGGTAGTCTTGAGCTTAATAGAAGGGAAAACATCCTAACAATTCGAGTGTCACATGAGACAGTAAGTTTGTTGACACTGAAAATGTCTAATAAACTGATGATTACGATGAGAAAGGATTAGTGCATCAGGCAAGTATTGGACTGTATCAGAGTTTTATAAACTTCAGTCATTGATATAGTACCTTCATTATCCTCTTTATATTCATATATTCAAGTAGGTAAAATATATAGATGCAAAACTACATAAGTTAATATATCTACATTAAGCCACATAGTGTCTGAAATCA